TATATATATATATATATATACCTTGTGTGTATTCAGATTGCTGTTGCTTCTCCTATATTTTGTAGGAAGTTTCCATGCTTCTTCTGTTTAATATGTAGAAAGAGAACTGGAGACAAACAACGCAGAATAATAATAACGGTCTAGGTTTCTCTACTGAGATATTTGAGAATTTTCAGACCAGGTTTCTCAGTGCTCCTCAGAGTCCTTGAGGAGCAATCCAAAAAAATTTTTAAGAGGAAAATTCTCTTAAGGTTAAGATCTGAAGGATTCTAGGGTGCATTCTGGCGGATGCCAAGGTTTCGGAGCTCTGGGAAGCCCTGAAATTTATGCCCTTCCACATGATGAAGACAACTGGGTTTGTAATTTGAGGTTTTTTCCTTTTATTCCAACACATTCCATTCCTAATCATGAATTAGCACTGTGCAGATGAAGTGTCTATAATGCTTCCTTTCCCTCTTCACTTTCGACAGGATTTAACAGTCTGTTTATATGGAATGGGGTGTGCATGTGTATATGCATGTATGTGAGGGTTCAGTATTTTTTAAGCTTGAATTTCTTATGTCTCCTTTAATGAAATTATGAATAGCATATCATTAGCATTAGAGGTGATGACATATAAAAACAAATACTAAAATACTCTTTATGCAGAACATTGTATTCCATGCTAATATTATTTTAGATTTAATGTTTTAATGCCATTGCTAGACACATATAAGGGGGGGGAACCTGTTGATTAAAATGAAATATAGGAAATCTATATTTTAGCAGGTACATACTTCTAAACATTGATTTCTGCAGTTGTACATTGGTGTTTACAAATTAAATAACTATATTTATAAAAAGTGAATTCCTCTGTCTCTTAACAGTAAACTTATTCCCATAAGAAATAACCATCACTCAGAACATTCATATTTATGAAAGGCTATATTTCAGGTATAAAAATGCTGTTGTCTTTGCTTCACTCCTTTTAATGTTATAATCTGTAGGGCTTAGCATAGAAGAAATTTCTTATTCATTTATTAGTTGCTAACTCTGAGGCAACTCGGTGAAATTTGGGCCTTTTGATATCTACAGGTTTACTCTTGGCCCAATCTGATGACTCATCAGGACTTAAAAATATCAATGCTGGACAGTTGCTGAGAAGGAAATGCTGTACTATCAACCACATTGCTCATTTCCGAAGTACCTAAATATCATTCCAGTGAATATGGTTCAAGGCAGTATTTTACTATTCACAATAGTATATAAAAATATACTGAAATATTTTCATCATAATAGACATAGACCAAGATAGTTGAACCATGAGATGTTGATATCTTACTCTTTATTTTGTTGTGTAGCATACTTAAAATAACGGTGCCACTACCTGATTTAATATTCTACTCTTTTTTTTATTCATTTCTTTTTTCTCAACTTTTTTTCTCACATGGAATTTTTTTAATTTATGCTTTTGTAATTTCCTGATATAAATGTCTTTCATATTTCTTTATATTCTATTTCCCATAAACTGGATGTTAAGATATCTTCTTCTATAAATAGACATTGAAATATCTGTTGTGCAGAATCTAGTGATTTTTTGCTTTCCGTTCTATTATTTTTTAAGGTTTTTGCCATATGGTGCATGTGCACACCAAAGAGAGACAGAGAGAAAGTGAGAAATCACCTCCCAGAGGCCATAGCCACACTAGCAATCCCTTCTTCTCCTTCCTCCCAAAATTTTGGGCACTCATTGACATATGTCTGAGTGACTCTCAAGCCACTAGGTCCAGGACTCGAACTGCAGTTGGTGGAGCCCAGCACCTTTACCCCTGTGCCACCTGCTGGCATCTTGCTTTCCTATCTTTTCCAATGATCAGAGAAAGTAAAAATGTGTCTTTTTTCCAGAGTTGTTGAGTATGGGTACCTTTTTATTTATGAAGACATCAGTGTGGAACCTGTAGACTTTTGTTTTTAACAATATCTTATTGTTAACAATATTTTTGTATCAGGCTCAACACACTTACGGTATATTCTCAAAAACTTTATACTTGGTGTTGAAATGAGACAAGTCATTCATTTCACAAAACAAATAAAATGAAAAATTAGGACAATTATTGGAAAATGTTAGGTCTGGGCCAGCAGGTGGTATGATGGTTGAGGCACTGGGCTCCCATATGGCAGATTGTGGTTCAATTCCCAGACCTGACGGCTAGCTTTCTCAGTCCCCCTCCTCCTCTGTCTCTCTCTGGTGAGTGCACATATCTTATAGCAAATTTAAAAATAATCACAATAAATAAAGCTAAATAAAAAAGAAATGATGGCTGAAATACTGGTATTTAAACAGCTACATATATGGCTTAAATTTCCAAGACCGTCTATTTACTGGCTGTATCATTTGCAATTACTCAACTATTTACTTTTTTTTTTTTTTTTTGGGGGGGTTTTTGCTATAGGGGGCGGGGCCTCGCCAGACAAGAGGG